ACAGGTCTTTCCCTGAACCCCTTCATTCTGCGACGTACCATCAACACCATCTGCTGTTTCGCCTTCCTCTTCTTCTTCTTCTTCTAGCATTTCAAAGGGAGTCATTATATCATAGAGAAATGAGAGGAAACCATAAAACCAATCTGAACTTTCCTCTGCTAAAATATTAAGGACTTCCTCAAGAGAATCAATATTTTCATTACTGCCATCTTTGGTCAGGCCTACATAAGAATAAAGGAAGAGGGAAAGAGAAAACAAGAAGAGCAGTTAGGTGGAAAAAGTTAAAGCTTAGGCAGAGTGATCTTAACAGGGGTGCATCGTGGCCACATTTACAGAAAGGTAACGGAGAAAACAGAGAAATCGGTTAAGAAGTACACCTGGAAACCAAGTCTCCATGCACCCCTCCAACCTCACGCTCCTCCCAGCTAATCAGCAGTTTTTCCACCAGAGTCTTGGGTGGGAAAACTAATAAAACGTGTCACCAAACTCTGTAGACAGTGATAGGAAGAATGAACACAGGTGATATCAGAGAACAAACCTCCAAATTGCTGAGTGATGACCATGCACCCTGGAGTAAACTGTGGGTGTCCCAAGCAAGCAAGCTACCAGGATTACAGTCTGGGCATCCAGACACTCAGATATGTAATTTTATCAAACCCCTAAATTGGTTAGTGGTATAACACTCTTACAACTGACTCACAGTGCGGTAAGTCTGTTCAATAGTTAAAGTTAACTGTTGATAACCCTTTCCTCCTGCCTAAAGAACTCGAGGAAGGCTCCTGCAGTGGAAGGCTCTCTAGCAGCCAGGTGCCGTGGGGGCATCCCTAACTCCTCTTCCCCAGCCCCACTGCAACGTCTCTCCATGTCTGCTGTTCCCTAAGCACTGCGGACAAACGTGGCCCCTGAACAGCAGAGATCAAGATGTAAACCATCCTGTTTCTCTCCAGTGGGGAAATGACCAGGGAGAGACCCTTGAGATAACAAATCAGTGCACTCACTACACACTGCACGGCCCAACGGTTTGAGGAAGAAAAGCAGATGGCAGTCACAGCAGGAGGAACATGAACCTCAGAGCCTTGGAGCCTTTCCCGTTGTAACCAAAGCCTGATCGTTTCAGGCTTTACACACAGTTTCTCCATGCAGCACGGCCAGCAGCTACGCTGCCTCACTAGAGACTACAGGACGTTAGCGAGCTGAAGTCAGAACGATTACAGAGAACAACTCTGCGTGTGTCAACAGAGCAACTATCGGGCACACAAATTGCAGTCCATGTTTAATTTTTTTTTACAAGCTCTGGGTGTTTTTCATTGAACTTAAGCCTCCAAATGGTCTAAACAAAGATCTACATTTCCAGCAAAGAACTGTGAGAATGATTCTTCTCCCCAACTTAAATACTACCATGGTACATTTTAGAGAAAACACTTGCTTTGTTTTCCAATGCGCTGTAGGCACTTCACATTACTACATATAAAATACGGAACTTCTGTGCTTCGGTATGGCAGGTGGAACTGAGCAACAAATATTTAGACAGTGACCCAAACAGCCTCTAGTTGTGTGTGTGGTGTATGAGTGTGCATGTGTGTGTGTGTGCAAGCACATGCTTCCCTTGGTGGCCACAAGTTTATGTCAAGCATCTTCTTCATGACCTGGTACTGAGCTGGGAGGCCTTGAGGTCCATAGAGACTTTGCATTGGCTGTAGCAGTCCAGGCAGGTTCAGAGGGACCCACTACAGGTCTCTCACTAACCAAGGAGACCACTGATTAGGCTAGAGGAGCAAAGCCCGAGAGATTTTCCTGTCTCCACCTCCTGATGTCAAATGAGCTTCTGCACCTGTAAGGATCCAAACTCAGGTCCTCACATTTGTGCGTGAGGTCTACCAACCAATCCATCTCCAAAGCTCCATATCTGTAGTTCTTAGAATAGGAGTACCAGTCCACAGAGGAAAACTATTCTGGGTATGCCATTCCTCTGAACCTAAGAGTCTCCCCAAACGAACAGCAGAGGGAGTGTGCATTACATGCTGGGCGAGTTCCATGCTCCTCACATTTCTTCCCACTCTGCACTTAGCACAGAAGCAGCCAGCTGCATTACCTACACCACCCCTGATATGGGTCACCCAGGTGCTAGCCGTAGGATGAAGGGGTAAGTGTGCACCCCCAGTGAGGCTTCGGTAAGAAATTTCTCTCAGCCCTGAGGCCCGGGACCACTTCCTACTGACAGTACATGGGAAACATTCCTTTCCCTTAATTTTTTTTTTGAGATGGAGATACAATTACATTATTTTTCCCCTCTCTGTCTTCCCTCCAAGCCTTCCCATTGTTGCTCCACCGCCTTGATGTCTTTCAAATTCGCTGTTTCCTTTCAATTGTTTTTGCATATACCAAACTGAAACCAAAGTCATTTGCATTTAAACAATTTTGTCACAACAGTACAAAATTATACAGGATTTGTACAATATCAAAGCGTATCAGAAACTGAGAATTAGTAAAATCAGTAACAGCTACTGGTCTTGATGAACTCGTACTTCTGTACTTAGAATTCACGGGGTGGGAGGGGCTTAAAATGTGAAAGGAAAGCAACATGGATGTAGACTTTTCACGAATTAATATGATTGAGATTTAGACTTCAAATGGCCGAGGGCAAAGTAAGAAATAAAAGCCAAGTCTGTGGAAATATAACACACATGTTTGTACCTCTCTCCTGTCCTGTCCTGTCTGTCCTGTCCTCCCTCCCTCCCTCGCTCCCCTTGGCTTCCTGCCTTAATATAACTATGCTCTTAAGAATCAAGGTACCATCCCAACAGGAAGAAAAGCAGAGGTTTTCTCAGCTGTGCGTGATCTGTGACTGCTCCCTCATCACACAGAGCACCCCAACACTGAACCAGTCTCTGCAGACAGCTGCAGTAACTGAGGTACTGCATGTGTGAGTAAAGACCCCAGTCATCCAAGCCGAGCAGAGCTAAGGTTGTACTGGTGCAGACAATAAACAGCTCGCAGTGCACGGTGACAATGGGCCTGACAGTCCATCATTATTAAAGTTATAAGCCAAACAAGAACTGAAACCTGTATAGAGGAGAGCTTCAGTGGGAGGTCTCCCACACTGGGATCGACCTCCTGACACACAAGCCTAATGAAAGGAGCAAAGAGAGCTGCTCACACCATTTTGGACTACCTCCAAACAGCAACTATCAGTGTTAGCATTAACTAACGTCTTAAAGTGGGGGAAAAAAAAACAACAACTTAGAATACCTCTTAGAATCCAAAACAAACTGATTTTCTAGTTGTAACTCCATCGTGGACTTTTCATTTTGGGTAGTAGGTAAGTACACAAGAATATAGCCAATACTGAAAGTGTAAAATCCCATGTGAAACCACACAATTTCCATTCCAAATGACTATCCTAACTGTACAAATGTCTACTGAGGCAGTCAGTATAGGCTTGGAGTCTATAATTTCAGTGTGTGTGTGTGTGTGTGTGTGTGTATGTGTGTATGTATGTGTGTGTTTATATGCAATTTTTATATTACAGTTCAAAAAATCCAAAACACACTAAAGTTATTAATATGAAAAAGATAATGCAACAGGGTTCATATGACATTAGCCTAAAGCTTCATTACTCAAAATTCATTTAAAGTATCTTGAAATACCACTTATAGCAAGAATATACCATCACCCTAACATATTACATTATTACATTGTACATTTATTTTTTTCACATGCCTAAAACTATGGTCACCTGAAACTCTGATTTAAATATAAAATGATGGAATTACAGCAAGAAAGCCACTAAGTCAAGAGAAACCATGAAAACTGTCCATTGGCCTTCCCACTGTAAACACGAACTCCTGGTATGCATGAAAAGGAACGCACAGCAGGCAGGGCTGAGTCACCGCCTGTATCACAGCTGGCCATAACCAACAAGTTCATGCTTAGAATTGTTTTAAGGGGAGTGATATGTAACTATAGAAAGTTGCTAAATCACTGGAGCGTCTTTCTGTCTCTTCAAGACCATAAATACACAGAACAGCCTATCTGGCAGGTTATTAAACTCAGTGCATATATAATGTCAGGCCATACCTACTGCTTTGCTAAATAATTTGGTATAAAGCTTTAGTACATATAGTTTCATACTAAGAAAAAGAAAATGAGCTGGCCAAAACCAGAAATAACAGGTTACAAAATCTGCATATTCAAATCAGCACTGTCATTTCTAATAAGACAGTATTTTAAAACAATGAGGAAATAAAAATCTTTATTTTAAGAAACACCTAGCTAGTAATGTAATTACAAAGGCAGAGAGGAGCCCATAACTTTAAAAAAAAAAGGAAACGTGACTGAAGACCACTAGTTCATATTTTAATATAAAATTTTAAATACAAATAGGACATCAAAGATATTTACTGCTGGTTTTTATTTCAGTCTTAGCTTATGTCAGCCTTGAGAAATGTACGTTTTCAAATATGGTCATGTTACACCGAGCATGCCCCATCTGCTGTCAATATGAAGGCTAAGCAGAGTTGGCCTAATCAGTATCTGAAGGGAGAAATTTACATCATAAAGTCAGCATGAATAGTATCAAATGATGCTTTTAAAAATATCGTTCCTCGTTTGAAAACACATGAAGACATTATCTATATCTCTGAACAGTAAGTTCAGACTATGAAACGTTTAAATCTAAAAATACAAATGAAGCTATAATTATTAAAAATTGATATGTAAGAACTGCATGCTCAGTTACTTATAAAAGCAAGTTGAAAAGTCAAAATGGAAAGTGGTCATTTAGTATATCAACAAAAATGAAATATTAAATTGAAAAATAACTCCATAAAATGCTTACGGTTGCTGTGGATAATTAGTAAAGTAATAATTTTATCATTGTACTTTAGTATGTATGCATTATTACATATAATAACATATCTATACCATTAAAGAATATTAAACATATTTTTTTGATTTCAGTGTCTAACTCCTTCTAACAAGAAAGAAAGCAATGTACTTGCCTAATAAAACTTTGGCGTCATCCACATCAAAGTCTCCATCACCATCTGCATCATAGACTCCTAGTTTTCCTGCAACAGGAGAGCAATGATACACACAGGAAAAGAAAAAAACAAACTTAATAATGAACCATCTCTCACTGCAGTTTTTTAGACACCATAAATGTTACTTATTTCCTCGCCTTTTACTCCTGCAGAGCAGAACCGTAGGAACACATCACCGGAAACTACTGGCACATCACCTACAGATTCAAGAAGTATGCTGCTAACAACGCTAACATACAAGTGAAAGGATAATTCTCCTAGAGATTTGGGAATATTCTGATCCTATCACTTCACAATAAGTTTACTGTTCTCTTCAAAATGTTTTACATAAAAATTGGAACATATATATATATATATATATATTCAACCCATTTCAAACAGCCAAACAATTGCATAAAATTTGATGTCTTTAAGACACAAAACTTCACCTATCAACAATATATGCAACCTAAGCTTCAAATAAAGATCAAATATAAGTAAGTCAACAGAGAACATAAGTACCTTATAGAGTAAAGGAAGAATTGTTTGATACTTAACAATAAATTACAACAAAAAAAGCATGCATTAGCCTAAGAGAGACAGGACTGTCCTAGAAGTAAAGTATGTAAAACTGGAGGCTTCCTGAAATGATAAGTGAAAAATTTATGGTCACCCACTTAAAAGCGTCCTGTACACTGGACAAGCATTACTTAAGGAAAAAGGGGGAAGGCTGAAAAGAGGAACGTGAGAAGCCAGGCTCACTCTACGTTACTCAACACTGGTTGTACTCCACTAATGCTTTCAGGGGGCTGTCTACAGGGTTAGCATTTCAAATGGGTACAGTCCATACCCAAAAGTTATTCCAAAATCAACATGGCTTATAAGTCACCACTGGACAAGAACTGTGGGGAAAAAAACAGTAATATTTTAAAGAGTAAGAATATAGCATTCTTATGAAAAATAGTTGGCTATAAACACTGCTTCCAGTTCTTTAATTCCAAGTCCATTAAAGGATTGCCCAGGGAAGACAGGAGCAAAATTCCCAGATCCCTGGCTCCGGTTTTGCTATACAAAAGTCTGCTTAGTATACATACACACACACAAGAAAACCAGTAAGAATGCAGGGATGAAGACGTCATTCTTCAGTGAAGAAAATGAAAGTGATAACCTGTAAGTCAAGGCTACCGATAGCATAGTACTTTAACACTATTTTCAAGGCTGAACCCTTCCTGAGAGCCTTCCACGGGGAAGTTGATCCTGCCACTTACATTCTTGATGTAGATGACTAAGTTAGTAGAATAGGGATGAGGTCTTAGAGACAGATGCAGTACACTTAAAATGCATCTCCAGTAGCCTACCTTGAAGTACCTCTGATAAGTTATAACGGAAGTCCTTTGCTCTGGCTGCATGCATGCAAAAACATGAAGATTGTTATTTATCATTAAAGGTGCACAAATTACCTAGCAACAGTACTGTAAGTTAATGAAGTCATATTTTTGCCTATGCCAAGTTAAAATTCTTTTAATTTACTCATCTATTTGGAGATACTTCCCTTAAGGTAGTAAAACATCAGTGAGTGACAGATCGTATGCAAGAATACTGTGATATTCTTTGTTCTTCTCTCCCACTTAGAAAAACAGCAACAATGTATGACTGGCACAAGAAGTCTACTGGAAGGGGGCGGGTCCTCAACACAACATTAACAAGTGTGTATTTTCCTTACTGGCCAGTCCATGTCTTTATCTGGAATATTAAAGAGGGAGGCCATACTTCTTAACTGCCTAAAATGAAAACCAAATGATCATTAGCAATAACTACTAGAAAAACAGAGTGTTGTATATCCATATGATAGAGTATTACTCTGAACCTTTACATATAATGATGCTAAACAGGCAACTCAAGAGGCCACACACATGTATATGCTAGGCTCAGAACACCCAAAATAATCCCAGAAAGCCAAAATGTTGAGAGAGGAGTAATGTCTGGGGAAGAATGGGTAACAGAAATGCTCTAAAATTAGATGCTGATGATCAGGCAAAATGTTCGATGTATTAAAAACCAAGGAATTGTAGAATTTCAAATGTTTACAATATATAATTTATGTTCTTTCTATCCATTTAAAAAATTAAAAATGAAAAAGAGTCCATATAAAACAAGTCATTTTAAAAACTTAGTGTGGCTAGAGAGATGGCTCAGTGTCCAAGAGGGCTTTCTGCTCTTCCAGAGAACCCAAGCTCAGTTCCAAGCCCACATCGGGTGGCTTCTGACCACCCATAACTCCAGCTCCAAGGGATCCACTGCTCTCTTCTAACCTCTGCGGGTGCCCACACATGGCAGACACCCACATAGGTACATAAATAAGGAAAATTTAAAACCCCAGTGATTGTGCTAAGACAAAGGAAAAAGGGAGAAGAAAGTGAGATACTATTATAAGTATATCCAGGAACTTCCTCAAAGAACGCAGAGATGTGCCACCTGCCCACATGGTCAGTAGCACAGTCACCTCAGCACTCACATACCCATGTGCACACCTCCATGTGACACACACACCTGCATCTGTACTCCCATATCCATGTGCACACACTCATCCCTGTGCACACTCATCCCTGTGCACACACTCACCCATGTGCACACACTCATCCCTGTGCACACTCATCCATGTGTATGCACACATCCAGGTGCACACACATCCACATGCACATACTCACCCATGTGCACACACTCACCCATGTGCACACACATCCAGGTGCATATACACATCCATGTGTATGCACACATCCATGTGCACACACATCCATGTGTACACTCACATCCATGGCAGGAGTTCCTTGTAAATTCTGGCTAAAGGAAGGTTTTGCAAGTCAGTCATTGCAGCTCACTTCTAGAAGCCATGGCAAGAGGATCACTATAGGGCCCTGGCCAGCCTGGGTTACATAGAATGAGATGCTATCTGAGATCTAAGCCCACTAAAGGAAGCAGTTCATAATCTAGAATTCTCAACACTCAACAAACTTGAATCAAAAATATAAAGTACAGAAAATAGTGAAAATGCATTTAATAAAATCTGTTTTGATAAAGTTTCCATATACCATAATAAATAGGGAGCCTACATAGAAATCAGCAAAATTAAGGCCATTATGCCCAGGCAGCCCTAGTAATGCTCTCTTTTCTTTCACTTTATCAAGAATCACTGGAAGCTACAGCCAATAATAATACCAGAGACACCGGCAATAAGAAGCCCTGGAGATTACCAAGGACTCTCACTTTCCCTCTTACAAAATCACTAGAGAGACTGTAGCCTATTTCTTACCTAGAACTTCCTCATAATCAACAAGGTCAAACCACACCACGGCCACAGACGTCCAGACGCCCAGCAATGCAATAACCATGAACCACGTGAAGAAGGAGCCTCCAGAAATTCCTCCTCTCCTCCCATTCTTGTGTCCTCCATGCTTTGCTTCTGTTTGGAGAAAGAAAAATGTAGGGTCACCACAGCAGAAGAAAACACTTGGCTGAACGCCACCTTTATTTTGACAATGATTTGAAAGATCATTTTACTTAAATCCCCAAAGTACATTACACAAAATGACTTTGAACACAATTAAGTTTCTGCTTAAACTCAATTACCACATTTAAATAACGTTAATTTTGAACAGAAGTAAACCCTTGATGGACTATTGTTCTTTTGGTTTGGTTTTGTTTCTTACGCATGATAGAACGCATACATTCCTTCCAAGCCCTTTGTCAAATCAGTCTTCATGGGAACACTTTTGTGTCCAAATGGCCACCTGTGCCCTGCCTCCTGTGCTAAGTAGCAGACAGTGGTATATCATAAGCATGAATAAAACTTCATGTTCTTGCCTTCCTGTATGAGGGAAAATGCTGGCCCCTGTATGTTCACTCACCATTATCTTGCATTGTCCAAAAACTTAACTCTCCAACTAGCCAAAGCTCTTCAGCTTTCACTTTGATAAAATACCCCAGTCTTTAGAAGTGTCATGGACACTGGAACAGACATTCTGTTTGGCCTTCCAGTTCTGCGGCTTTCTTTACCGCATGGCTCCCTGACCTTGAAGTTATGCCCATCTTTGTGGTGCCCTCTGGCTCTGCCGGCTCCTTCACTGGAAGCTGCCTTTCCCTGGTGCTGCAGAGTAGCTGTTTTCTTATGGATCGATGTCTCTTCTCAACCCACAGCAATGCACAATCAAAAACCCAGCCTTAGTTAATGAAATCAGAGATGTAGAGGATCTTATTTCATATCCTATTTATACAGTACATCACCCACAACCGTGTTAACTGCCACAGAAGGAAATAAATCCCTCTACAGTCATTCAATATTGAGGGAAGGTGAGTGAGGGGAGGGGCACAGAAACATAAATCACAGACAAAAGATGCCCTTCCTCCTTCAGGAGATCCAGCAGGGTGTGGGGAGGCAGGAAACAGGCCTTGCCAACTGGCCCTAACGCAGGAAACAGCTCTGTAAACTGCTGCTCACCAAGTGTCATTCATCATGGTTTTGCTATGTGTTCCTTATACTCTCCTAGAAATATTCTTCTGACGGTCAAAATAAATAGAACTCATGAAAGCCAATGGTAGTTATAAAATAGTCAATACTGTTTAAAAAGTTAGCGCCATATGCAGATTTAAAAGAACGTTATATCCCACAACTATAAGTAAACATACTTAATTACCTGATATCCCCAAATGCCATGCTGGTAAAGGAAACTTTTCTCCATCCCACCAACACAGCAGGACACTACCTGGCATGGGGGTTCTTCCCACAGCACTCACAAGCAATGCTACATGTGGCCCTCATGCAACTGGCCCATGTTTCTGAAGAAAGTATTTCCAGAAGCTTAAGCAGGACATTGTTCATTCTGTGTGGCTGTTCCTCATACAGCAAATCATCTGTCATGCCCCGTGCCCCCAGGCCAAAGGCAGGTAGGTCCCAGGATTACAAGTCCCTCAAATACCTCACATACTCCTTACGTGGAATAGGAATCGTCATCTGTCACAGGGGAAAGATGAAGGCATTTGTCCACATCAACACCGCACATTGGGCAGAACTCAGAAAATGACCTCTGACCTCTGCAGTCCTAAGTTTCTGTGTGTCTTATGAAGGTTGACCCCCAGGACTTCAGCCTCCATCAGATTACCCAGGACCTGCCTTCTACCTCCACACATGCTCCAGGGAAAAGAACACTAGTGCTTCAGACAACCAATGCTTCCAGTGCACTGCTCAGAAAGAAAAGAAAATTGAAACTGTACCTATTAAAAGAATATCCTTTCCTTAGACTTGTTTTATTTTATGTGTGTGAGCATTTTGTCTGCATGCACGTCCATGCATCATCTGAGGGCTTGGTCCTTGAGAAGGTCAGAAGAGAGCCTCAGAAGCCCTGGAACTTGAGTTGTGGCTAGTTGTGAGCCACCATGTGGGTGCTGAAACCAAACCCAGGTCCTCTGGAAGAGGACATTTTATTGCTGGGGGTGGGGTATGGTTTCTAGTATTTTTATAAGTCATAGGCAACCACATCAATCATTAAAATAACACTAAATAAGCTGTCACTGGAATTTTTCAAAATAAGAGGAGAGACTGCAAAGCTCTGTAGGGCAGGAGGGCCCCACAAACTCCATAGCAGTGTTTGGGATTTAGTTTACTACACTTTTATAAACATGAGGACATGTTCCCTAAGCTATATGGGAAAGAAATCTTCCTTACTTTTATATGCCATACAAATGCACACACATGCTAGAGAGATGTGATCAGGAATATATACTGCTCTTGTATTCAGTTCCCAGGACCCACATCAGTGAGTCACCACCGCCTGTAACCCCAGCACCAGATGAATCCAATGTCCCTGGCCCCTGTGTGAATCTGAACTCATGTGCACACACTCATAACTTAAAAAAACAAAAATAAATCTTTTAAAAAGTGAAATACATCTCACATTTAAAGTTTCATTTACAAAGAATGGTAAGGCTACAATGAACTGGGTTCTTGTCTTATCGCTCTTGGACATTGCCACAGTCACCACATCTTTTCTATTGCTCCTCATTAACTAAAACAGGAAACTGTTAAAAAATACTTTATCCCTTTACAATGTCAAACAGTGTGCTACTCTAGCATCATTAACCTTCTTACTATTAATACTTGTTAGTTCCATAAAGGATAAAAGCATTGAGTCATAGGACATTCTCTCTGCACTTCACATCTCTCCTTTGAGCATGCTCACGAGGAAAACCAGGCAGCAGCTAAGGACTCAGACATCTCTTAAAAGCCCCTTTCTGAAGCCTACAACATGTGCTTGGCCTGTTGCTTTGAAAATGCGGTGTACCTCCCAGGGGCAGATCGGTTTTCCTGACTCAAGTGAAGGAAGTGTGGTAAAGCAAACCCTCCCCAAGGGTTTCAAACCCCACAAACAAATTCAAAACCAGGACGTTATCACAAAAATATTCTGGAAGAATATTCAGCATTTGTTGCTATTTCCCTAGATCCAAATAAATCTAAGTCGGTCTTCATCTTATTTTCCGGCTCCATATCAAAAGTGCAGGCACCAATGGGGCTTCCTAGAGTTACAAATCCAGCAACTCATTTTCTGAAATTGAAATGGGATGTCCACATAAGAAAATGTTCCCACACAGTACTGAAGAGAACATTACGATGCTGGCTCAGCCCCAACAGTCAGAAAAGACTCTCCAAAGTGGGCTAGGGACAAAAGGCCACCACACACTGATCAACGACTCACTGGCCGTTAAGTAAACTGCAAAGTGTTCGTGGATAACTGTTAGTGAACACTGGACTGGGCATTCACACTGGTACTAAACAGAGCATTTAAAGATCTAAAACAGCAGTTCCTTATACGGAGTTTCAATATACCTATCCAATACATGTGTTTTAAACTAACAAAAAGACAACTTTTGCTTATAAAGAAAAAAAGGTATATACAAAAAAGTAAATTTAACACATTAAGAAAATGAAATCGTCGATCTAAGAAACAAAATTCTCATGTCTGCTATTTTGTTTTTCATTTACCCTCTGCTTCACATGAAGTAGGTCAATTTCCATATAAGGTAAGCCTACTCGAACCAAGCATGCTCACTAATACAAAACTAGACTTACATAGCCCCTAAGTTTCCCATATTTTTATAAGAAATCTGAACACACAATTCTTTAGGTTCATTGTTAACAGACACATCACACTATGGAAGTTTATAAAATGTGATTTGTGCTAGTAGAATATATTGAGACAGTCTAAGTTAGGACAGCAAAATCTATTCAGATTGAAGTTGGATTATTCCATGAAAACCCAGGCATTGTGAAAAGTTGACCTCTCCAGAAACTCAAGAAAGAACATATAGAAGGCACAAAACACTTAGCCAAAAACATCTGAACAGAGCACAGCTGAAAATAAGCAAGAAAGCTGTCAGCTAGTTCTAAGCCCCCTTTTAATCCAACCAACAGACATATACCTTTATCCTCAGTCATTTTGATTTCTTCAATCCATGCATAAAATACACTGACAGGAAAAACCTAAGGTGCTCCCAGGCGGTATGGGCCACCCAGCATGCCCTTTCCTGCTAGAACCGTGACTACCAGTCCTGCCTGGTCAAGGGTTCTGGAGCTGAAACTGGACCTGACTGTGGACTGCTCACCCGCTATTTTTAGAGGCCGCTTCCTCGTGGCCACATGCTGCTAATCACTCAGGCTGACTGCACTCCTGACAACCCTGCAGCCTTCCCACTGGGAGTGGACCACCCCTCCACCCTGCCACCCCTGCTTGGTTGGTTCCTAGTTCTTCTTATAGCTCCAAGTTCTGAAAGACGAAGCAGCTGGACAGAGCACAGGGGGCCAAACCACCCATCAGCCCAAGTAGTTAAAGGAGCCTGCATGTGTCCCTCGGCCCAGAGCCAGCCTCACTTGGCCCTTCAGAATCTTAATCAAAAGCCTTTGAGACTATTTAGCCAGCGTGCTTGCAGAAAGACAAATGATAAATGACAACAAACTAATGAATTCTCTAGAATCCTGAGTCACAGCATCATCATCCCAGGAACAGTCCTTCCAACAGCAAAACGAAAGCAAGGGTACAAAAACATTTCACTGGAAGGCAAGAGAGGGCTGCCGGACACTGAAGGAATGAAACTGGAGGGAAGGAAGGATAGGAGGAAGGGAAGGAGTACCTCAAAAAGGTACTGGACAGAAGCCATGAAATCCCACATCAAATGTTCCCTTCTGGGAAATGAAAATGGCCCCAATTTTAATGACATTTTTTTTACTGTTCTAAGATAAGCAATTTATAGATGGCATTGGAGCTCTAATTAATAAATGAAATTAATTTAGAGCAAGTAGAATCTAGAACAAGCAGCAACCTTCCAAAGCGGCTTCTCCGTCTTTAATTTTTTTTCACTCCATCTTAAATCTTCATAAGCAAGTAAAACATTTAAACCATTCTGAAGAAGAGT